TTAAGCATCTATTATCAATTTATGCATATTTTAAAATTGTATACACGTATTGCTGAAAAATGGCATATAGTCTAATGATTCAGGCATCATGGCTTTGAGTCCTGCTCTAATACTTCCTATGTGACCTTGGACTGGTTTCTTAAACTGTCTCATTTTTCTTATCTGTGAAATGAGGATAATAGTACCAACCTCACAGAGCTATGAAGAGTAAATGAGTTAACTATATAAACTGCTTGGTAGAGTGCTCAGATAGGTAGTATGTATTCAGTAAAAACTAGCCTTATTAATTCATCTGAGTTAATACATGATGGCTATTATAACACATGTTTTAAAGACATTTTTAAAGGATGAGAAAAAAATTAAAATCTAGTATCTTCTCCCACTTAAGTTTTGCCTACTTTGAGAACATCCCTCTACCCTATAGATACTATAATCTTGAAAAATAAGTTTGCTAATTGCACTATGCTGCCTAAACCCCTTCAGTGGCTTACTGTTATTCTGAAGAAAGCCCTTTTATTAATAAACTGCCTCGATTGTTTCCCCAGGTTCATTTCCAAACATTTTCTGCCCTCTGGCCTCATTGGCCTGTTAATCCTAGGGCTTTGCATGCTGTTGCCTCTGTCTGGAATTCTGAAACAAACCTACCTCCACCCTATACTTAATGATTACTAAGTTTTTTACCTTGCTTTAACAGTCTCTTATATTAGATACTCTTATAGCACTATGTACCTTCCCATCTTATATTTATTATACTTAAAATTATTTAATTAATCCGTTGATTTTTAGAGCTAGAGGAAGGGAGAGGGACAGAGAAAAACATTGATGAGAGAGAAAAATCATCGATAGGATGCCTCTTGCTCTCCCCCTACTGGAGATCGAGCCTGCAACCAGGGCATATGCCATGATCTGGAATTGAACTGGTGACTTCTTGGTTCATGGGTTGATGCTCAACCATTGAGCCACACCTGCCTCAGGGCACCAAGCAGATTGTAAATTTCTTGAGGCCAAAACCTTTTTATTTTTGTTAATCCTCACCTGAGGATATTTTCTCCATTGATTTTCTGAGAGAGTGGAAGGACGAGGGAGGGATAGGGAAACATCAATGTGAGAGAAATACATCAATTGGCCCCCTGCCACAACCCAGCGTGGGAATCGAGCCTGCAACTGAGCTACATGCCCCTTCAGTCCATGGGCCAACGCCGTATCATTGAGCCAAACTTGCTAGATTGATGTCACAACCTTTTTATTTTCAGAAACTACCTAATTGCCTGCCATAAAGGAGGTACTCTGTGGGTAAATGAATTGGACATTACTTGAGGGCTTCCTGTTTCTCATGTTTTGATGAAAGTCTTTGAACCCATTCACAATTCTTAGCTTCTCCTTATGAAATTATATTAAGATTAATTTAACAGTGGAAATGATGATCATACACCTAGATATTTGTTACCAACAAGGAGCTTTATTCTCCCTACCTGGTAGAAAAATTATGAAGTTCTGAAGAAGTGAGAAAACTTAAAACTTATTTAACAGAGAAACAGTTATTTTTGAACCTTGTGTAATATTGGGTTTCTTTTCTTTCTTTTTTTTTTTTTTTTTTTAATGGATTAGAACAATGCTTCCCAAACTTTTTCAGTACTTAGAAAATGAATACTTGTATTATATCGTGATAAAAAGACTGCTTCCATTCAGGGGCAACAGAAGTTGGGACTCCAGCCATTCTAGGCCCAATGCTGCCATCTTGAGGGCTGGGATTTTACTGTCCCAGCATACCTAAAATCCATTGGAGATTTAAGATGCTCGTTTAAAAATTGCCTGGTGAAATGTATTTTAATAAACACTGTCTTTATAATTATTCAAAGTGTGCACATACATTTTTGGGGGCACCCTATATAAAAAAGTTTCTAGTAACCACATTTAAAAAAGCAAAAAGAGCCCAGCTGATCTGGCTCAGTGATTGAGCATTGACCTATAGGACCAAAAGTTCCCAGTTCTATTTCAGTCAGGGGACATGCCCAGGTTTTGGGGTCAATTCCTGATGGGGGGGCGTGCAGGAAGCAGCTGATCAATGATTCTCTCTCATCATTGATGTTTCCATCTCTCCCTCTTTCTTCCTCTCTGAAATAAAAATAAGTATATATAAAAAATAAAATAAAAAAGTAAAAAGAAATAAATGAAATTAACTATATATATATATATATATATATATATATTTTATGTAATTAAGTTTATCTAAAATAGCCCTGGCCAGGTAACTCAGTTGATTAGAGCATTGTTTCCATATTCCAAGGTTGCCAGTTTGATCTTTGGTCAGGGCACATACAAGAATCAACCAATGAATGCATAAATAAGTGGAATGACAAATTGATGTTTCTTTCTCAAATCAATCAATAAATTAAAAAATCTAAAATATTTTTTTCAATATGTAATAAATACAAACATTTATTGAGACTTTCTACATTATTTTTATTCAAACTGATTCTTAAAAATATGATGTGTATATAATCTTTATAGCACATCTCAGTTTGGTTGGCTGCATTTCAAAGGCTCAAAGTCACATGTGGCTAGTGACTACTCTATTGGACCACACAAATCAAGTATATATATAATGAACAAGTGAGGTTCTTTAGATATCTAAAAAACCAGAATAGAGCTGCTTATTTGTGCTGGGTATTTCCCATCTCTTTCCCACTCCTTACATCATCCCATTCTCCTCCTCTCCCAGCACTGAGGGCCAAAAAATTTAAAGTGACTAAACCCATTATGAATATTTACATAAAGTGTTCAGCACCTTTAAAATGAATCACGGATGAGCTGTTTTAAGACAAAAGAACTATTTTAAGAATAAGACAAAAGGCTGTTTGAAAAATAAGACTTTAAGATAAAAGAAAATTATGTTAACTGTCAACATTTTTTTCAACTAGAACACTTGGTTTAATTTTTAAAAGTTGTTTACAGTAATTACTAAGTGTTGTTTGGGGGTAGGCATATACACCAATTAGTGATCTTGCCCCAAGTGCCAAAATACTTTGAGATTTGAGTTGATGTGCCAAGATCCAGTTATGTTTAGCAGTTTTATAATTGTTTTAAAAGATATATTTAACATTCATGGAGGGTATCAGTATCACACTTTTTATTTTGACAGTCTTAGGCAGTCATTAAAGTGCCATAGAACACATTAAAGATTATACGTGGCTTTTCAATCAGAAAAATTATCCTCATGGAATCTGTGAGGATACTTCCAACTTAGATAAAGAACCTTTATTTATTTTGATTTTCACTACATATTCATACTTCATTTCCTTTTTATAAACTATTAAAGTAGTTTATGTTTGTGTTTCTAAATATAATTCAACTAGAGGCCCAGTGCATGAAAATTCATGCACTGGAGGGGGGTGGTCCCTCAGCCCAACCTACCCCCTCTCACAGTCCCATAGCCCTCTGGGTTGGAGGCAACCTGGTGATCAGGGGAAGGCGATCACACCTCTGCTGCTGCCACTGCTGGCAATGTAAGCCTTGGCCGGCCTTGGTTACCTGAGCCTCGGGCGGCCCTGGGCGGCTGGGTAGCCACTATCCAAGGCTTGCCTGCACCTTGGGTCGGCCCTGGGGGGTTGGGGGATAAGGAGACTGGGGGACTCTGGAGGCAGGCATGTGGAGTGGCTGCATGTCTGCCACCCCGTTGGGGCTGAGGGGACAGGGCACTGCCATCTTGTGGCTGTGGGTGCTGCCATCTTTGAGGGCAGGGCAGTCAATTACATATTTCCTCCTTATTGGCTGTGGGCGCTGCCATCTTTGTGACAGTATAAGGATCAATTAGCATACCCCATCTTTATTATATAGGATTAGCTATTTCATTTCTCATCAGTAATGGGCAAAATTTTACTAGATATATACTTTGCCCACTTAGAAACTATCTATAATAATAAAAGCATAACATGCTAATTAGACAGTAATGGGTAAAATTTTACTAGATATATACTTTGCCTATTTAGGAACTATTTATAATAATAAAAGTGTAATATGCTAATTAGATAGCACAGCCGAACAATGTCCTTCTGGACAAAGCTGGGACTGTGAGGGCCAAGGCAAGCTTCCACAGCCGTGAGGGCTGAGCCCCTTGCACAAATTTTGTGCATCGGGCCTCTAGTCTTTTTACATTTGGTGAAGATAGTACAGTATACTATAAAATTGCCTACTTGCCTAGCTCTAAATGATGGTGAGCTGACGGATAATGTTAATGATGTCATCACAAAGTAATTTATTATCTATGGAAAGGGACATCTTTTGTAGTACATTGGCTGGTTGGGCTGTATTTTATACCTATGCATGTAGGTTTATGAAGCCCAGGACTTTTGTTAGGTAGTTAACACTGGCATTTATGGGATTGGCATTAATACTTAACATTGCTGTTGGACACCAGCATTTATAAGAACCTCAGAGCTTAACTGCTATAGATGTGATAAAAGAATGTAAGAGTTATCATTAGACTATAGAGTAAAAAAATGGATTATATTTTGGGAATCATAAAAAACTAATCTTTACCTTTTATCTTACTAGATAGTACAGTATTATACTGCATTGTCTTATGTACATATGTATAGTGCTACCATGATGGAAGCTGTGGGAATAGTATTTATTTACAATAATGTAAAAAATACCCTATATAATATAAAGCTAATATGCAAATTGACTGAAAGGCAGAACGACCAGTTGTTATGATGCACACTCAACATAGGAGCTGCCCCTAGAGGTCATTGCACTCCCACAGGGGGAGCGCCACTCAGCTAGAAGCCCAGCTCACGGCTGTTGAGTGCAGTCACGGGGTGGGAGCCTCTCCCACCTCCATGGCAGTTTGATATCCCCCAAGGGCTCCCGGACTGCGAGGGGGCACAGGGCAGGCTGAAGGTCACCCGCCCCCCCAGCCCTGAGTGCACGAATTTTGTGCACTGTGCCTCTAGTGTGTGTGTGTGTGTGTGTGTGTGTGTGTGTGTGTGTTATTAACTCTAGGAACAGGTTAGGAGTCTATTAATTAAAGCATTCCCTGCTAGATTCATAAGAGCAAACATGCTTAAAATTCATTACATTGTCCATTTATAAGAAAATAATGATTCACATCTTAAATGGCAATTTTCCCTCTGTGAATTGATAAATTTCTTCACTGCTGAAAAATAGTTGTGATTTTTAATGTACTTATGCCTCCCCTTCCTGCCCCCCACTCCAGTTTTTCCCTATTCTAACTACACTTGAGAAAAATAGACTTTGTTTAAATATTGGATTTGTGCTTTTCTTAATCCAATATTAGTCTAAGGTTAAGGCAGCATTGATAATTATATTTCCAAAAATGTTTTACATCCAAAATTATTAGAGGAGACCTTCGGTTTCAGCCAATACTTTTTTTCCCCTTGCTTCTGTCAGGAAATTTATTTGCAAATATTTCAAATATTTATATTTCAGTCAATACTTTTCAATTTTACTTAAGTTATAATCAGAAGTATTAGAAATATATAGTGAAATTAAATTATGCTTTAATTTACTTCACACCCTTGGTGACAATTTGTATTTGTAGGTTACTTTTTAAACTGTTGTTTCTACAAACTATGTTTTTGTGGATGTTAAAACAGAAATAAACAGATTTCATCTTTTCAAATCTAGCCTGCTTCTTATGTAAAGTGACCATATGCTTTGGCTTACCATCAACAGTTCTGGTTAATATCTGTTGTTCTGGCTAATTATTAATAAGGCTCCTGTTTACTCTAAAAAATGTTCTGATTTGGGTTATAAATCATATGATCAGAAGCTTTAAGGAATTTGAAGTATAAACTAATAGAAGAAGGTCATTTTTAAAATGACCTTTTGTAGTCAGGAGAATTTCCTTCTCAACTATGTACAGACCTATCTAAACTTTTAAAAAATAACATTATGGTACAGATAATATAAGCAATAATATTATTTGATTTGTTGATAGTACTCTGGAATTCCTGAGTTTAGAAGTGGTTTGTTTAGTACTGACAGGAAATGGATGCAGGAACAATTAGTGATGGTAAAAAACAAAGTGCTTTTCCTATATATCTCCTCTTTTGAAGCTAAATATAACTGTCATAAAATTAGAGCAGGACCAGTTTTCATCTTTCTAGAGAAGCTGAGAAATTAGGTGGTTTGATTATATGTACAAACTAGTAGATAAGATCATTCAAGACTTCAGACCCAATCTTCTGGCTATAAATCCTATATCTATGCTCTCTGCAGCATACCCTACTAGTTTTGAGTATTAAATTTATTTAAAACTTATCCTGTGCTTTAAAATTTTTTAATTTAGAAAATATTTTTGAGAAAATAACCAAATAAAATTTCTGAATTTTGATTAAAAGTTCCTATTACCTACAGGCAGTTCTGGTACTTTTTTCTATTTACTTCAGAAAGCTTTGAATTTATGAGGTTACTAAAAGGACTCAGGCAGGGTTGGAGTGAAGCACCTATTGTACGGATTAATTTCAGTTCACTTTTTAGGTTTTTTGCATTAATAATGTATTTCATAGTAATTATGGCACAAGTCACTTTTTATTTGCCTTATAATAGGTGTAGACATTTGAGAGATGAATATAAATTGACTTCTACTGGAATTGGCAAACATGTTCATATTAGCCTTTCTCAAATCTAGAGAATCCCAAGCTGTGGATTCTTCTATAAAGTAAGTTTAAAACTAAGTAGATTAAAGGGCCTTGAATTATGTTGTAATATCAGAAGGGACCAGAGCAGGAAGTGCTCCAAAAAATTGTGACAATTGTGTATTCTACAATCAATGATGGCATATAACCACATTTCCAGTGTATGGTACTTGGTAAATCCTGAGCTGGGAGATAGGACCAGGGTTTAAGCTCTGTCCCTATCTCTGATTACTGCATTTTCCTAGACAAGTCTTATTTTCCCAATTGAAAAATGAGAATATTCATGGTTTCTGTGTCCAAAGAGTAGTTGTAAGACTTCACAGAAGTTTGAAGCAGCATGCCTATCGAGCAAGCAGAGTGGTGGAAGAAGAACCTTACCTATTGGGAGCAGAAGTCATGCTCAAAGGTTCTGCTCTGGAGCATCACTGTGAATTCTGAAAATTGTAAATAAATAGTAATGCATTTGTATAGGTTGCTATTGGAAAATCAGCAGAAGCTCCACTTAATTGGTTTGATGAATTCTAAGTTTGATTGTAATCTTATTGAGCAAGTAATTTAACTTATCTGTGCCTCAGTTGTTTATAAGTGATATGAAGAGACTAATATATATATATATATATATATATATATATATATATATATATATATATTGGGTATTTCACTGGATTATTGGTTGATAGGACTAAATAATTATATGTATATATCCAAACAGTATAAGAAACTCTTGTTTATCATACATAGTTTTAAGAGCTACAGCCAATCATAGAGATCTTGCCAATTGCTAGTTACAAAATTATAGTTAGTGAATATTGAATTGCTATGTAAATTGTGAGACATTTATAATATAGGGGTTAAATTACAATTTGTTAAATGCTTTTGCATATCTTATTAGATTCACATAATTAAGTTTAAATAAATCAGGTAGTATTATTTTATTGTTATTTCAATTTTATTTTATTCTAAGGGACTTTAAAAATTATCTAGCCCAACTGCAAAATTGCATAGGGAGGAAAAATCAATTTATTTCAGAAATTGGTGTTTGTAAGAAATAATTTATGTAACAGAGATTTATAATAAACTCAGCTTCCAGTCTAAGAAAGGAAGTGTTGGAATCAAGTTGATTACCATCTGAGCTAATTTAGTAAGTACCTGATTATATTTGATTCTTTCTTTTGACAATAGTATTTGTTATTATTGAACTTTGTTAAGCAGTGTGTATCCCCATTTTTTCTTATTTATAGGCTGTCTTCAGTCCAATTTCTCTATTTCATCCTTATCAATTCATTAGCTTTCTCACAGAAGATCACGTATCTTCTAAGAAAGAGGGTTAGGTCATGTGGCTTGGTGGTTGAACTTCAACCTATGAACCAGAAGGTCACAGTGCAACTGGTCGGGGAACATACCCAGGTTGCTGGCTCAATCCCCAGTGTGGGGTGTATAGGAAGCAGCTAATCAATGATTATCTCTTATCATTGTTATTTCTATCTCTCCTTCTCCCTTTCTTTCTAAAATCAATAAAAATATATTATGTTTTAAAAAGGAGGGTTATTTTAAAAAACTCAAATATGAATTATTTTAACAGTTCAAGTTAAATGAAGAGATAGACTTCTTTTTTATTTATACCTATTTCTTACTTAGCTAAACTATTTCTATCATCATGCAAACTAATATGATATTTATTTAATTAAAGCACACAACTAACTGTTTAATTTCCTATTTTTAATCTATTTGATCAGAGCCTTCGCCTAATGTATTCTTCAGAGCCATGTTCCAGGATCACATTATAGTTATAATGAATTATTTCTTGTAACCAGACCCTCTTGGACACAGTCCAAGACAAACTTGTTCTATTCAAAATTCTGTGTTTTACTGTAATAGGAAGTGTTACTTAAGGGTCCAATGTAGTCAATCTATTTTTACTAAAATTTTACCAATGTAAACTTAAACAATAAAGTCTTTAGATCAATACTGGACACAAAGTATTTTCAGAATACTTACTAATTGTTCATTTGCTGCTGTTTGGCCCTTTTAAAATTGGCAACCAAATTCAGGAAATGAAGTGTAATTTATTAGAAAATACCTTTCTCACAGAAGATCACGTTTCAGTGCATCTCAGGTTTTGTGGGAATGGATCAAATACATCAGACAAAAATAGGCTAGAGTTCCTCACTTTCCATTAGAAATTGAAGTATTCATTTCTCAGAAAGTCCATTTTAGTTATATAGTATATTAAAATTATATTAGTAAACTAAGGAAAGAGTGTTTTGACCATGTCTTTGCTGTAATAATGATGTATTAGACACTTTTGGACCTGCTCACTCCAATCATTGCAGTTATAACCAGATTCAAGCACATGAAACCTGACAGCCCCTCACCTGGACTTTCTGTTCTGGGGGCTTCTATGACACCTTTGGAAATAGAAGCAGAACTTGAAAGTGTGAGGAAATTAATAACACATGAGGCATCATTTAACTGATAGAAGTAAAACTGGTGGATAAATGCTCCTCTTGCATGTCTTTAGCTTCATGGCTCCTAAGAAGGTACCAATTTGCCCATAGAAGGGGATGAACTCCACAATGCACTCTTGTATTGGCCTTCCTCCCTCCCCATTTCTTTCTGTTAATCCCCCACTTCTGTTCCTTAATTAAAGCACACAACTAACTGTTCCCTGGGATGACTTCCCAATAAAGAACTTGCACATAATCTAGAGGATTTAGGCTCTACTTTCTAGAGAGAACCCAAACTAAGAGATCATGGTTAAATATGAGATTTCCATTTTTGTATTTTTAAGTTGTTAATGGAAATTTTAATTGTTTTCTTTTTTATTAATACTCACCCAAGGATATTTTTTCTATTGATTTCTTTCCATAGAGACAATGGAAGGGAAGGGGAGAGATAGGAAGAGAGAAACATTGATATGAGAGAGACACATCGTTTGTTTGCCTCCCACATGTACCCTGACCTGGGCTGGAGGTGGAGCCTGCAACAGGAGTGATGGCCCTTGACCAGAATTGAACCCTTGACCCTTCAGTGGGCTAATGTTATCACCACCGAGAAAACTGGCTAGGGGGAAAATTTAACTTTTGAAAGTTTGTATGCATGGATGGGAGTTAGATTAATTCTATGTACTACTTTGTTAAAATGTTAATGCTGACCCCCAAATTGGTTGAACATGTGCCTTTTAGGCTATTTTTCTGAAAGTGATAATGGTTGGATTTCAAAGAACTTATACACTATTGCTCAGTTTCTTATAGGCAAGAGAATCTTTTCTTGTTACTTCTCAAACTTTAGTGGATATCAGCATAATCTAGAATGTAATGTAAATATGCAGACTCATAGGATCTACCCACCAGAGATTCTAATGTGATATGTTTAGATGGCATTTAGCAATCTGTCTTTTTAATAGGCATCTCCCAGGTGAGTCAGATGGTCCAGAAACTACACTTTGAGAAACACTGTTACACTATTATAGAAGTAATACTGCTGGGTGTAATCTATGACTATGAAGTAAATTAAAATTGACTTCACAGAGATTGAATTAGTACTGTTAATCATATGTTCTAATAAATCGAGCTGAAAAATCATATTAAAATGATAACCCAATTTTAATTTGAGTCATTGTGTTCTTTGTAGAAATTTTATTTGATACTAGAGGCCCAGTGCAAGAAATTCATGCACAGATAGGGTCCTTAGGCCTGGCTGGCAATCAGGGCTGATCTGTGGGGAGACTGGTGGTGGTGGCATTCACCTTAGTTGGCCTTGGGCCTGTGGGTGGGGGGCAGCTCCTGCATTGACCATCTTTCCCCTGGTGGTCAGTGCACATCATAACTACTGGTTGTTCCATTGGTCATTCCACTCTTCAGTAGATTTGCATAATTTAACAGATCACTAAAATGCTACCATGAAAATAAGACATCCTCCGAAAATAAGATCTAGCGCATGGAAAGATAAGACATCCTCTGAAAATAAGACCTAGCGCAACTTTGGTAGAAAAATTAATATAAGACACTGTCCTATTTTTGGGGAAACAGGGTATATAGATGGTATTTACTATTCAGTTCTTATTATATCATTGAAATTTGATTACAATATTAGTATTTTCAGAAAAGTGAATGAGTAAAGTTATTGATCTTATATTTCTCAATGTTTCAAGATTCTTTCAGAGATTCATTAGATTTAAAATGTTTTTCTGTTGGAAGGTTTTCTCACTCCTAATGCAAATCATTGTAGAAATTATAGGCCAAGAACTTTCAAGGAAATAGACTTAAAATGGAACTTTGAAACTAAAAATTTGCCATGCAAGTTTTAGCTTTACTTTGTCAATAACTTCTAAGATAATAGTTTCATAGTTACTTTTATATATAGAAACATTTATATAGAAACATTTAAAAACTATCTTTGAAATTTGTTATTCCTTGCCCTCTTTTCAGTTGTTTATAGTAATATTCTAAATCTGTGAAAATAAATGCAGGCTAAATACTAATTTAATGAATAGTCACATAAGATTAAATTGCTTATTATATAATACAATAGTTTTAATAAGAATGTATAATTAGTAGCATGCCTGTGCCATTCCCTTCTCCCTTGTCTTCCCCTACAGGCATGTATTTACTAAACTCCAAGACATTGCAACCAGGGGAGCAATAGGCAGCAGTAGTTGGTCTTAGGGGGCTAACCCCCTGAACCTGTCACCAAGGCCTCCTTTTCTCTGACTTCCCAATGAGCCCAAACAGCCCAGCCTAGGCTCTCCTGTTGCTCCTTCTATCTCTTTATAGTTTCCCTGTCTAAGTGTGTTTTTGCTATAGTTAATAAATTCTTGCTTGCTTTTCTTAAAAAAAAAAAAGAATGTATAATTAGTAGGCTTAATTGGTAAGTAGTAATTTGTTTTTAGGTATACCACCTACATACAAGCTTTTCAATTTAAGAGGAAAAACAATTCATTTACCATGGATATAAATTCAAATTATGTTATTAGTACAAAGCTTATTTGTATAGCAATTAAGCATCTTTTAGGAAATTAAAGTTGACTGCGAGAGCTCAGTAAGAGCAGTTTGTGTTATAAGTGAATCTATTTGTTAGTTCTAATATCAAGTCAGTTCCTGCTCTTACGTTTTAGAACGTTTTGCCTCACTCTCCTGAACTTCTTTCTGATTAATGACATTCATTTCATAAATATCTTGCATATGAACTTTGCTCATTAACTCCATTTCCTAAACAATGAGACTGAGGCTAATTTAATATTATTTTTAGAAAATGTTAAATCGTACTCTGTCTTACTTATTACACCCAAAACATTTTGAACCCATTCTCCCTATCATTTACTGTCAAGAAACTGCAATATGGTTTAATACTGACCTACAATAAAGTAAACTTGGAAGATAATCTTTGGAAGAAAAAAGCGTATTCTAGAGCCCTGAAGAAATAATTCAATTGATAGTAGAAAGAGCACAATCCTTAGACCAATAGAAATCCTGGGACATCTAATTTGATGTCTTATAAGATAATAGATATTAAATACCTTTGAAAAACTCAGATACTAAGCACATGTAAGGTGAAATTTAGTCTATGTGAAAGTCCCTTTCTTTGGTATAGAGAGGATTGAATTTAACAGAGATTTGAATTTAAAAAATTATTTAAACATTTTCATTACCTTTATATATTGCTCTCAAAATATATTTAACAATGACTTCTTGAATCTTTAATTGGATTTACTTACATGGGTTTCTAATTTTTTAATTTAATAAAGTTAAATATTTTTTAATATTAAATCTTAATGCTTTCCAAGATTGCTGATTTAATTTTTATATAATAAAAATAAGATGTATATTCTAAGTTAAGCATTGACTACTCTTACTCAAGCTATTTGTTGAAATTTATTATAAATTCTATTAATAGGATGGAAAGGATATTGACATTTGCTGCACTTACTATGCTCTAGGAACTGCACTGAGTGTTTTATATAGAAAATCATGTAATTCTTCCAGCAACTCTTAGAGAATGGTAGTCATTTCTATAACTTATAGATGGAGAAAAGAGAACTCAAAAGGGTTCAATAATTGCTTTGGGTAAACTAGATTGTAGCAGAGTCAGTATTCAAACCCATTTCAGTTTGGCTAAAAACCCTGTAAGTTTTTCAACATACTATCCTTTTTCTTTCCTGTAAGGGTAAGAAACAAATGGAAGTGATTATTTTCTAGAATCACTTGGACTGAACTAAATTTAACAAATTTAGAAGCATTCCTCAGGTAGGATTTTCCCTGTGAAAAGATAAGGAAGTTAGGAGAATTAACATTTAGTTCTAGGAGTCAGTTGACATTTTTGAACCTCTGGTTCTCAAGCCTTCTGTAATCCAATTTCCTTGGAATTCCTCAAGTTAAAAACATTTAAAGCATTTTTGAGCACTTGTGTGTAAAGCACTATAGTAAGAGCATACTCCTTAAATAGCAAGTTCTATAATTTCTAACAGGGGTTTTGACTCCAGATATTCTGGTCTTCATAATCTTATTGAACTTCTAACCAAACTTTAGATGGCTTTTTTTTTCCTTTTTAAATCCAAAACTATATCCATGTAAGAGGGACTAAAACAATACAAAAATACATACATACATCTATTCTAAGAAAATAAAAGTTGAGATAGTTAAAGCAATATTAAGTCAGAAAAGGACAATAGGACCCACAAATATGAGGGAATATGAAGCACTCTTATCAATTTGATATAAAAATTTATGATGGCATTAAGATATTAGGGTTTGAAATGGTAGTCACCTTCATTATCAATGGCAACTCCAATAAATTCAGCCACAATACCAAAAAAGTTTGGTGTAATAATATAGATTAAAATAGAAAAGCAAATAATTTTTTTAGTTCAGCAAAGACTCATTAATGTAACTCTATAACACAATTTAATTTTCTTATAAATTCTTTAGAAAACATTGATTGCATGTAGCATTCAGAAGAATCAATGTAGAGTAGTGAAAAAATTATTAGTCTGGGCTGGTGTTGAGGAAACAGATGCTCTGGTTCCAGATCTACCTTTAGCTTGTATGTAGTAATTTAGCATATTTTGAGGCTTTCATTCAACTCAAATAATGAGGTGTTGGATTCATTAGTTATCTAGTCCTTCTAGCTCAAAAATGCTATGATTCTAAGTGTTTTTGATAGGAAACACAGGAAGGTACTGAGGAAGCAAAGAGGTTAAGAAACTTAGCATTGTTGACAAAAAGAGTCATTGTATGAAACTGTGTGGCCAGGATAAAGACAAAGGAATGCATTCCCAAGTAGACTTAAGAGTGAAAAGATTTTTAAATGAGTAGAACACTATTTGACTTGGGACCTGACATAATGAAGGGCTGTATAAAACACAAATACACACGTACAAAAACATAGACTCTTAATTTGATTGATAACTATATGTAGTCTTAATTTTAATCAAAACATCACAATGTATCAATGTTTTAAAGGAATCAATTTATGGAAAATATATAAAAGTTATTTAATAGGACTTTCATATATTTAAAACTGAAAATACTATTAAATGAAAACTATAGAATCCCTCTCCAAAATGTAGAGTTGGGCTTTAAATATTACCCCTAGATTTGATATGAAAAGATATATCTAGTTCCTAAGTAGCTTTCCTCAAAACCATAAACATAAAAAATAATAAATTGTAATCCTAAATTAAGTTTATTTTCAAACAGTAAGCCCTGTATTTAAACACTATATGGTTTCAAAAAATGTATATACTATATGTAATAGATTCACTAGAAATACTAAAAGTATATTCTATTGATATATACCCATATCTTGCCTGAAAACTAATTGAAAAGAGAAAAATTCAACCAACGAAAATTTTTTATTCTATTCTTCCCAAATTGTCAGAATACAGTTTATGCTAGAAAGACTTTTTTTTGGTTTGTTTTAGTTTGCTGAATCAGCACATTCCCTTTGGAGATTCAACATTACATGGCTTTTTAGGAGTCTAACTGAATTATCAGAAGTTTTATGCAGAATTGACTTGGAGAATAGGATTAAAAAGCATCCAAAGGATTTCCTTGCAAATGAAATCTCATCTGAATATTTATCCTCAAAAATTATGTATTAACATCCTAAAGAAACTCTAATAGCCTATGAGTTTGAACATAGAAACTAAGTGAGGATTCTAGGGACAATGAAAAGAATACATGTCTTGCTGAATTCAAGGCAAAGTCATATTAAGATGGTCTACAAAAGCTCTTGACAGGAGACTATTCATTGTAAATCTGTTAAAAAGATACTTTAATTTCCAGATAAACTCATATGTTAACTGTTATGTTAAATTGAATGCCAGAAGATTTATACATTGAATTTGATCTAATATTAATGAGGTTGTTTGGTATGCAGAAATAAATCTAAAGGGGTTGGTAAGCTTTATGTGTTTTAAATGAGACATACTACTAAAATAAATTAATTGGATCCATGAAAGATGTAAAAAAATTAATTTAAAATATAGAGAAAAGAAAGATTCAATTTTTTTTAATCCCAGAATATTTTCAGATATAATAGGCATGACAAAAACTTGTCTTCATTCCTTTCTAGTCACCTCAGTGAGTGCTTTGAGCTCCAATGGTTAATCAGTTACCAGATTCCACATCTTTGTTTTTTTACAATTCCCAATTCTTGTTGTGAATTGTTCCTCTCAATGTACTTACAATCACCAAGAGGACACTACCATTTCTTCCACCTTAAAAAAGCAATTATTATTTCATCCATAATTAGATTTACCACTTAAAATTGTTAGTGTATAGCAATAGCCCATAAAACATAATTTTCAAAGAAGTAGTTGGCTTAAGATTAATTACTAATAGATGAAATATATTTAGCAAAGTTATTCAACTCAGTTTTTAAAATGGCTATAACCATGCCCAACTTACAAAAAAAGTATAGCAAAAGTGCATTATATTAATATATCCAATAACCTTTACCCAAATAAGTCAGTGAACATATATGCAAGTGTTATAAAACCATATCTAACTTCATAAAAGGTATAAGGCAGGTATTATGTTAAAAAATAGATGTTTTCTGAAACATCATTTAATTTAAGCTTCCAAAATTGCAGAAAAAATTGAGAAATAGAAAAGCAATTTATTAACTTACCCTTCAGTTTATTTGGAAAAACCTTTGCTCTTGGTCAAAAGCAGATGCTTCACTGTTGATTTTCCCTGAAGCTATGAACTTACACAGTAAACCGGTGGAAACTACCTCTCTGGACCATGCTAGAGTTTGCTAGACAGTCCTGCTGTGTGGAAGAGGTCTGCTGCATCTAAGCTATATACAATGTGCAATGGATAACCTAATATGTCTTTCATTTAACTGGCTGGGCAGGTTTCTACAGCCTGTGGAACATGGAATCAAACCAGAATATGTTGGCATAACAGGCCCGTCAAACCGGTTCTTCTGTAGATCCAGAACCCGTCCAACCAGTCTGCATCAAAGGCTCGCCCAACAAGCTGCAGCGGCTCAGCTCTGCTAAGCTTGTACCGGGTGAGTTATCCCCACCTGCCGTCAACTTCCAACAAACTGCTCAGAATGTTGTAGCCTCCAGCAAAATAATTCCGAGTTCTAGTGGGAGGAGTAGATCTGTGTCAGGTATAGCAAGAGTCCATTGTTATAAACCTCTCATTGTAGATACTTGAGTATCTATCAGCCTCAGAGGTAGGTAATCCCTTTTAAAAACCTACTGCAGGCTCTCTGCAGACGAAAGCCTCTAGAAAGAGATTATCTACAAGAATGAAGAAGCCATGATGCCTGACCTTTTCCACTGGTCTACTTGGCTCTGTTCAGTCTAGTTGAGCCTTGACGGGAGGTTGATATTCCCACAAGAGGTAAAAGGAACGTTTTTTAGAGGGAGGGGAACGAGGTGGAGGTTGACTAAACATTTGTCTGGGTGTGTTATCTTCCTTGTGCTTAAACAATCCTCATACCATTTCAGTTTGAAAAACTATTTCTACATACGAGGGCAACTTGGAGAGGTTTTACTTTGAATATTCAACAGTTGAATATAAAGTACTGATTCGAGGTGCCAGAAACTGTGTTAAGTATAAGGTTACAGGGGTGAAAAAGACTAGTTTAGTAAGAGGTGGGAGGAATGTTCAGGTGCCCAGTAAAGCATGTCTAGTAATCTTTTGGAAGGAAGAAGTGAATAACACAGGATCACATTTTGACAGAATTGGTTTATAGTAAGGGAGATCATGTGAGATTTGTCCTTACTCTCTCATAACACTTGAACATTTAGAAACATTCTTTTCTATCTACTATTGTAGTTATTCTCAAACTTTTCTGCTTACCTATCAAGTGCTGATTAAGAACACAAATTACTGGCCTCACCTCCAGGGATTTTGAGTCTGGATGTTACCCAAGCACTTATGGTGATTATGCTGCAACTGTGACAGAGACCATAGGCCCAGACTCCATGCTCAGTTTCTTTTCTATTTTCTTTGTACTTAATTAAATAGGATACATATTAATAAAAATGTATTAATATATTTACTTTTGTATCTCCAGTGTCCAGAACACTGACACTTAGAAAGCATTTAACAAGTGCTTATTAATTATCTACTCAGTGCCAGGACTTGCTAGATCCAAGGGGATTCACAGCTAGTAACTATTATGTGAATCAAACTACATTAAGTACTATAATTATAATAATTGAGGTAGGAGCACAGAAAAGGGAGCAAGTATGACTGAGTATGACTTCACAAAAGAGATGAGTTTTAGAGACTTGCCTTCCTTAGCATGACCAAAGATTGCTATCTGCAGGGTAACAAAAGGTTGTGAAAACAATAAAAAGAATGTCTTTGATATGATTCAGAAATAAAAAAGTTTTAAGTACGCAGACACTATGACCTGAAAACTTAGTAATAAAGGTTATTTAGATCAGGGCCCAGCAAATTTTTCCACAAGTATCAGGGAGTAAATATTTTAAGGTATGTGGGCCAAATTGTCTTTCAATTACTGAACTCTAACATGGTAGCACTGAAACAGACATAAATATTAATAATAGTCAGTGAATGAGTGTGGCTGTACTCCAATAAAACTTAACAGAAAGAGGTGACAGGCTGTATATGACCAATGGACCATAGTTTGCTGACACCGGCTCTAAAATGAAACGTTAAATTAACAAGACTGCATAATTAGTTAGGAAAAATGGTCTTAGGAGTCAAGAAAATTTGGGCTCTATCCCAGTTCCGTTCCATATTAGTTTTGCCACCTGAGTCAGGCATTAGTTTTATTTTAAAATGTGGAAGAAAGTAATAGTTGCTAATCCCTGGAGTTATTATAAGATTCAAATAATTTAATTCACATGAGGCTTTAATGAAAAAATCTAGTACACAATAAGGGCCCAATAAAATGCCAGCTAAAAATAAAACTAGTTGAACATGGGTGTTTATTTCCATTAGTTCTTAAAGCCTAACTAACATGACAGCATAAACTCTAAAGCACATGTGTCAAACACAAGGCCCGCGGGCCAAATCCGTCCCGCCAGGCCTAGCAATGTGGCCCGCACCGCGCTGTCATCACTGCACTCCGCTGCGTTTCCATCACAATGACAGTTTATGACTGTTCAGTAAACCATTCGGCCCGCGATTTAGGCTGGATTTTAGATTTTGGCCCCTTCTCTGATTGAGTTCGACACCCCTACAAGGATCAAAAACATTGAGAGAGATAGCAGACAAGAAATGTTCATACATTTTGGAAGAAGGAATGAGGAGAGTGATGACTAATAAAGCAGAATAGAGAAAGAGGAAATCTACTTGCAATAATAAAAGCAAGTCTGTCTTTGCTACAGAACCTTAGAAAACTTGAGGAATTGGAGGCACAAGATACCTTTAAAAAATTATTAAAAAAATTTTTTTGGTTAATACTCACCTGTGGAGATATATATATATATATATTTTCCATTGAGTTTTAGAGAGAGTGGAAGGAAGGGAGAGGGGAGAGAGAGAGAGAGAGAGAGAGAGAGAGAGAGAGAGAGAGAGAGAGAGAAACATGGATATGAGAGAGACACATCAATCAGTTGTCTCCTGCACATGCCCTGGGGGCCAGGATCAGGCCTGCAACTGAGATAATGCCCTTAACTGTGAATGGAACCAGGACTCTTCAGTCTGCAGAGCTACGCTCTAACCACTGAGCAAACCAGCCAGGGCATTAGCGAGGCTTTAAATGAGAGGACTGGTGACAGAAGATAGGTAGGACTTGACTCATTCTGGGAAAGATTGTCACAGGTTGGTTTTGGACTTGAAAATATCAGGCAGAGCTGATGGTGAATGGTAAAGCACCGCACTGAAAACAATGAGATAGTGTTAGTTTCCAATGGTTGCTCTAACAAATTATTACAGACTCAGTGGTTTAAAAGAATACAAATTTATCATCTTACAGTTCTGGAAGATGAAAGTTAAAACTGGGTCTTATTGGCTATAGTCGGGGTAGCAGCAGGGTTGAGTTGCATTCTGGAGGCTCTGGGGGAGATTGTTTTATTGTCTTTTCCAGCTTCTACAGGCTGCCTGCACTTCTTGATTTGTGGCCCCTTCCATCTTCAAAGCCAGCAATGGCCAGTCAAGTCTTTCTTACACTGTATCATTCTGACATTGACTGTGCTGCTTTCCTCTCCCATATGTAAATCCAACTGTATAATAAGCTAATCTCATATTAAAGTCAACTGATCATCAACCCTTAATTCCTTCTGCAACCTTACATCTTCTCTGCCATGTAACATAACATATTCACAGGTTCCTGAAATTAGAGAGTGGACATCTTTGAAAGACCGTTATTCTGTCTACCACAGAGATTAAGTCAAAGTCTCTATATTGAATGGTGAGATGCCTGGATCCATTCCTCTGCTTGACTTTTAAATGCTAGTAACCAGGTTTAGTCTCCTCGCTTAGAAAGCAGGAAACTGGAGAATTTCTCTTTAAGAAAATATCAAAACTCTCATCACTCTAATGCAGTGGTTATTAACCAAGAATGATTCTGCCCACAGGCGCCATTTGGCAGTGTCTGGGAAAATTATATTTTTTAGAGAGAGAGGAGGATGAGGAGCAGAGGAAGGAGGGGGAAGAAGAGGAGGAGAAAGAGGAGGGGAGGAAAGAAAAAGGAAAGAAAAATAAAAATGATTGATTTTTGGTATTAAATTTAAGTTTAAAGATTTTTTTAACATGCAAATGTTAACTTCACTCATCAAGGGTTAATGTTCAATGATCATAAATGAGGAAGGTGATCAAACTGTTACAAGTACAAACTTGCACCTGCAGAAAGTGTGCACATTTATATCTGCCAATATTCATAAGTAAGGGTTTGCAACATACCATCCAACAGCTGGTAAAACCTGATCACCATGAGAGAGAGCGCGGAATCCTAACCACTAGACCACCAGGGACTGCAAAACCTGATCACCATGAAATTAAGAGCATGTTTTACTTGAATAAGTCCAAATCAGGAAACCTCATTTTGAGCTTCTTCAGTTACTCTTAGGGTATGTAAACATTGAGTATTTATTTATTTAACATCCCAAGCCTCAGTTGCTTCATTTACTAAATGAAGGAGTTCAATTGGATATATTCTAAATATCTATTTAGCTCAATAGTTCTATTCTTTTGGGCAAGTGAACAATTAAAAAAACATGAAAGCAAAAGCAAAATAGACCAATCAAGGAGACATTCTACAGAAGAGCAATTTTTAAATGCAAGCTGATTTTGAGGTATGTTCTCCAAAAGCTGACACTGAGATATGGATTCAGGTGCAAGTGATTTATTAGAAATTTGCTCCAATGTGAAACCAGTCATTGAGTCAGGAAGGCAGGCCCATAAAGGAGATCATGAAAAGCAAGGGTATGAGTTCAACATCAGCCTGATCTCAAGGAGCTCCAGAGCACCAATTACAAAGAGTTTGTCTCACTTGGAGGCAAAGGAACTAGGTTTTCATAGTCCTGAATCAGTCACTGGCAACTGACCACTCCAGGGATTATAACTTCCAGATAGTCTTGGCTCTTCAAGAGAACTGGCTCTAGTAACCCAAGAATATTCCTTTGAAGAAGGTTGCAGGCACTATAATATAAAGAGTGAAGCATTAAGACTTTTGCTCCCAGCCAAGACAGAACTGTAGGAATCAGATTTATCTTACCTCCTGAAAAACAAAACAAAGTCAAAATGTATAAAACAGTGTTTTTTAAGATGTTGTACATCAGTGAACAATGAACTTTAGGAGTAAACAAACAAGGTGAACCCTGCAGTTACCTCAGCAGACTGCCTAGAGAGTTTCCAGGCCATGGTGAAGAGAGGGGTAACCTAGGTAGAGTTTAGTGGCCTCATGGAGGTTGTCAGGTTGGATAAAAATGCCAAACCCAACTCTATGCTGCTTCCAATAAGCATACTTCAAAAAGAAAGACCCACATAGGTTAAAAGTAAAAGGGCCAAAAAGATATGCCATGCTAACACTAATCAAAATACATCTGGAGTGGCTACATTAATATCAGACAAAATACATATTAGATAAGAAAATATTACTAAGGACAAAAAAGGTAATTTCAAAATGATAAAAAGGTTAATTTACCAAGGAAACCTCATAATTCTACATATTTAGGCATCTAATTAGGTAAATAAAAATGTGAAGCAAAAGCTGACAGAACTCAAAGGAGAACAGAACAAATTCATAATTATATTTTATAAGTGTATCTGGAGATTTTGACATTCCTTTTTCAAAAATTGTTTGAATAAGTACACAGGAGATCAATAAAAGTGTAGAAGAGTTAACATAAGCAACCTACTTGGTGTAATTCACTATAGTAGATCACTTGTCAATAAGAATGGGCCCCATCGGCCTGATATGTAATCAGGACGGCTATATTATCTAACTGCCATCAATCTGTTTTTATTTATTTTTATTTTTAAAAATATACTTTTAAAATTGATTTCAGAGAGGAAGGGAGAGGGAGAGAGAAATATGAACATCAATGATGAGAGAGAATCTTTGACTGGCCACCTCCTGAACGTCCTCCAATTCAGGATAGAGCTGAAACCTGGGCATGCACCCTGACCAGGAATCAAACCCTGACCTCCTGGTTCCTAAGTCAATGCTCACTGACTGGGCACCAATACCATTTTAAAAAATATGTTTTTATTGATTTCAGAGAGGAAGGGAGAGGGAGAGAGCGATAGAAACAATGATGAGAGAAAAATTATTGGTTGGCTGCTTCCTGCAAGCTCCCTATAGGGGATGGAGTCTGCAACAGGGGCCTGTGCCCTTGACCGAAATCGAACCCAAGATCCTTCAGTCCACAGGCCCATGCTCTATCCACTGAATCAAACCAGGTAGGGCCACCAAAACTATTTGAACTAAGATTTGTATAACATACATATAAAACAGCATGAAAAACAAATAGCAAAACCAGGTTGATAATTATTGGAAGTTTCAATCACACCTGCTGCTATTCCAAGGAGGACATTTGATACTACAA